CGTCACTCACACCGTCGAGACAGGACAACATTTCTCTGGCAGCTCAAGAGTTCCCTCATTAATTCAATAACCTTAACAGTTGTGATAACAATTTCATAACAATGTGCTAGACAAAAGTCCTTGATGAATTGAGCATTCAATCTTCCCTACAGAACCTGGGACAGATTCCCCTAAATTTCACTGTTGTATCTGTTTGTTTAATAACTAGGTTTATCACGTGAACGGTGCAGCAATGCACGCGTGGTCGGGCCAATCTATAACACAACCTGCATTCCAGTCCTTTCGTATTTTTCTACATTACCTGCTGTCTTCAATAGCCGCACCAATCTCTGCTCACAAAAACGTCATTTCTAAAAAAGGATCTGAGGTGCAGCTGGTTTAAGGCACTGTTTATTATCACTGTTATTACAACACGTTACAATATCTGAACAACCCTGTACGCATTACATACGCTGTCGACATAACCTCACTATGCACACAACGTCCTCACTACTGAAAATGACATATCTTATCGTATCACTTTGAGTAACCTAGCACACCTAAGTTCCAACCAATCACAGATCGAGTTTGTTTTGTTCCCTCTTCTTTACAGGGTGTTGATGTCCAGCCATGGCAGGGCCTGGGCCAGAGGTATTCAGCATGAAACGCAGATTGAATGTTTTCTCTGGGGCTTGATTAGTTTCCTTCCTGGGGGGTAGTCACCCTGGATGGTTGTTTTTTTCATTAGGATGAAATGTGTTTTTTCGTTGGTTTTCGTTGAAATTGGAAATGGACAAAATTCTGTGCTTGATATATATTGTTATTCTCTATCGCTATTAGGATTGATGTCATCCTTTACAGAGCAAGAACATAACAAAGTATTGGTGTTCCTGCCCTCGGTGAGGTCTTTCGCTAAGTGGCACTTGTAATCAAAGCAAAGGCCTTGGATTCCATTTACTGACATTTTACTCTGGTGGTGGCAGCAATCTGAGCACTGGATATCTCAAAATGAAACATGTAGGCAAATACAACCGAAACTATCTTGATACTGTGGAATATTTTAAGCCTTGAACGTGTGCATACAATCTGTTTTAATAAAACAGAACAGGAGAAGTTTACAAGACTAAAACTCACACTGCTTCCTTATCTGTAATTGTCACCGAAGCAGTTCTTTACCCATTGTGATTGACTGTTGTTTCACATCTCATCTCACTGTCTGTATCAGTTGTCATGGTTGAGATTAACCCTTTAAATTATGCAACATGAATAAAATAATATAAATATAAAAATATAAAATATAAATTCTGTGTCCTAATTGAAGTCTAGTGTTGTTAAGGTGTAACTATGATTTTTCCTTTTAAGTTTTTATAGGTTTGCCAAGGGAATAATTGTTCGCAATGCAATAAGCCTGGTAGTGCATCTTATTCTAATTCTATCTATGCAAATATGCTTAATATGCAAAGACAGCTGTCATATTGTTTAATTGATTGATTGGTTGGAGGAGATTGTATTCCCAGCAAGATGTCATTGGATTTTCATAGTGTCACACTGATGACACTACTACCTACTACAAATTCTGTATTTTCAAGATTTACCAGCAGCGCAGCAGTGCAACACGATTGTAATGGGCCCTAGTGAAAATATTCTTCTTGTGCCCCCTCACCCTCCGCCCCGAAAAGCACGCTCATGTACATGTGAGCATCACACAACGACTCCATGCAATTGCTTACCTGCAGCCTTTGATCAGCACCACGGACAGCACAAATCTAACAACCTGCCCTGCACAGCCTGCTGTCTCTGACTATCAAAGAACCAAATTAACTTTATCCAGCCTACAGTAACAAATCCACACACAGTAACCACAGAACAAATAGCAATCAACAAAAACAAAACATTTACAGTAAATATATATCCAATTCATGTTTACATGTATACTGTATAATTATAAATAACAATTCACATTCAGAAAGTACACAGGATTAATTATTTTTGAGTTAAACTAAATTTTAGTAGCATTTAGATGTGTATGAAGAAGTTGTCAGTAAATTTCAGTTTTGTTTGTGTCAGATTATCCATGTTTATAGGGCCATTGTCTCTGCAAAGTCATTTGTCAGTGTTTGCAGCACCACAAAAAAACAACAACATTTCATTCACCTGCATTGTACTGGGGTAGAGGCAGAAATCTCAGAGATGGAATCAAGACATCAGCAAAACTATCTAAAAACAACTGAGAAAACAGCTCAACCAGTCCTTTCAGAAGTTCTTGATATATCCTGATAACTGATTACCTGATAGCAAACACATGAGACTGAAACCAGAACCTTCTTGGCAGAGAATTTACAGCAATAGAGCAGGTTATTTTAGTAAAATTTAGTGAATAAAGAAAAAACAATTACTGGATTTTTTTCTTTAAGGGGGGTAAGTCCCATTTCTATGGCAGCAGACGTTACAGCATTTCATCATTTTCTACAATGGTGACCAATATTGTTTTATGATATAAAATGTAAACAAATACCCCTCTGGAGCAAGTATGTCACTTAAAAAGTGTTCTAACGACTAACTGTAAGGACTAAAGCCTTTGGTAGTATATTACATTTCCTTTTTCTTTCTGTTGAACACAGTCGGATAATCTTCATTCTTCTTAACACACAATGGAATATTTGGTTCACTTGTTAAGATGAAGCAATTGATTGTATCCATCTGAATGCCTGTAACTGGTCAAACAACATATTTATGGGACTATGCCAGCTTTTACTGTATAAAGCCTTGTTGTATCCCTGCAATCTCACACGGATGAGAGTTATAAAAGCAAAAGAAGCCCCTATGAACAGGTAATTCATTTTGTATAATATTATCAATGTGCTGTGCTGCATAATAGTATTTCATTGATTGATTATTGTGCTCAATTTCACATTTGTGCAATTTTCTCGTTGGTTGCACATATGTGATTAAAGAAATGTTGCATATACATGCCAATTTTGACAAATGACAATTTTAGAGGACTGTGCATCACTGGTGGGTTATAAACACTAGTCCTTTCTGGTTTTTCTTTATTGTTGTGTCTGCAGGTTTTAATTGTGGGCTTTGGAGAATGGCAAGTCAAATCATGTTGCCTGTGTTGCTCTTGGGCATGATAAGTAAGTATTCAGTTAAATCAAATTTAGTTGAATTCACTTTTATTTCTGTTGATGCGTTATGTATGTTTTCATAGGCACAGCGACTCCTCAGAATTTAAGTAAGTTAAAGCTCATATAACCTCTTAGTTTTCATTTGTTCTCAAGCTCTCATAATCAGTAGTTGTTTATGTCAGCGGTGTCAGATTTTAATCCAATTATATTTATATATCAATTTATTTGTTTTCATAGGTATGGTGACTTCTCAGGCGACTCCTGGGCCCACTGCTGAGATGACTCCTCAAGTAACTTTAGGTAAGTTGAAGCTTATATAACTTCTTAGTTTTCATTTGTTCATTCTCTTAACAGGCCACACATACAATCATGTCAGAATCAGTAGCTCAAAGCAGTTATTACCAGCGGTGTAGTGCAGGGTATATGCAGTTATATTGAGTATACCTAATTATTTTTAAGTTGGCACTGGGTATACAGACTTCTAAATCCCCTCTGATGTGCATCATTCAGTAGTGCTCTGCGAGCTGAATTTCTTTTTCTAAAATGGCGAAGGCATGACATAGTTGTCCAATCTTGTGTGGCAATGATGTTACTCACGTAGCCAATTTTGAGTGAACTAAATATGCAAGAGTAGTCTTTCATGACACTGTTTATAATACAGGGCATTTATCCTTTGCTGGATGGGCCGCATTAAAAAAAAACTGGGGTCACAAATTAGTATACCCACCTCTCTGGGCACGACTACTTATACTACTTATTACTTCAAGATTATTATTGATACCACTGGATTACAGCTCATACCACTGTTCTGTGATTATTTGTTAGTGACTTCTCAGGTGACTCCTCAGGTGACTTCAGGTAAATTAAAGCTTCTTAGTTTTCACTATTTCATACTCTTGACAGGTCTCATATACAATCATCAGGCAAGTAATTACTTCAAGATTATAATTACAGCTAATACCACTGTTGTAGGATTGTTCATTTGTTAGCAGGAATGAGAAGCTTAGAACAGAAGATATTAGCTGCAGTTTATGTTGGGTCTAATTAAAATGTATTTATCAATTTTTAAATTGAGTTTTTCTATTGATGCTAGCAGTGTCAGATTTTTATCCAATTATTTTTATGTTTTCATAGGTACAGGTACGGTGACTTCTCAGGTGACTCCCGAGCTGACTCCTCAGGTGTCTTTAGGTACGTTGAAGCTCATATGTTATAAATTGTTAGTTTTCATTTGTTCATCCTTTTAACACTTTTAGCACAAATATAATCAGGTCAAATTCTGAACAGTTATTACTTCAATACCACTGATGTATGAATCAGTAGCTTTGAACAGAAGATGTTAGCTGCAGGTTATGTTGGGTAAAATCTTAATTCATTTTTCCATTTTAAAGTTTTGAAATATAGTAAAGATGAGCAAAAGAGGATAATTAAAAGGATCTACTGGCACGCCTCATGGTAAAAATAGGCATAACCTAGTGTCTCATGCAGGCAGTGTAACTAATCTGTTAACATGGGCGCCAAAATAAAAATCAAGACGTTCCGCCACACAACGCAGATATGGGACGTGAGCTCTGTGTGTGTGAGAGCAGGAGCTCAGTAGAATACAGACAGGTAACTTAGGTAAAGGCTGCACTAAAGCACCAAACACTGGAGAGAAAAACTCCCTGCAGACAGCAACAAGACCAAGAAGATTACAGAGTTAGTTATTTTATACTTTATTGTGTACATTTATTTAGCTATTGAATTGTCAAGCATATACGCTGGATTGATTTTAATTAAAGCTAAACATATATTACATAGGAATTTCACATGCACTAAGCAGATGTGGAAATTAAGCAAGTAACAATAATTATCTAAAGTGCTGTTAAATGTGTGGAGGTACCAAACTTCCACAATAGAGGCAGGGGATTTGCTTTGCTGACGCAAATTTGCTTTGGCTGTGGAATTTTTGTTTATAATCAAAGCTTAATTTATTACCCCCCCCCCACTTATACTGACATATAATCGCGTGCACTCAGTCAAAACAAGATCTTGAGGTGGTGTTAAATTGCTCTTTAACAAAAACCCTTTTCATGGCAGACATTTTGATTGTCAGACAAGGAAAAGTATAAATGAAATACATTTCATAAACAATGGTTTAGTTCCATCAAGTGTGCCGTGACTCATGACAGTGAGATGGCATGTACATTATCAAGACCATGGACCTGGCTCGGCTAAATGGAATTTCTAAGGTTTTCAATTACATCTCTTCTTTTCCTTCAATGGCATGCCAAAATGTGTGTGATGTTGTCCTGTGTGGAGTCTAGAAATGTTAAATGTTAAAAACAATATGCATCATTTGCTAATATGGAATTTGTCAATGAGGCCAATATGGATTGTTCTATTTTGTTGTTAAAGTGACATCTTGTCTGTTCTCTATAGGATCCCTCTATCCAATTGTCGGAACAACAAGCACTCGATCAGATGATGGAAGTTCTCCTCGAATTCTGCTGCAACGACCTTTTGTTTACTTTGGAAAGCCTTATAATCAGATTTATGTATGAAAAAATAAATCTTTTGAAGGTTTTTTAAAATGAATTTGGGTTATGTATAGTAAATATATTCATATATACCTATAATACTAATATAAAATACTGTAGCAATATATAAGTTGAAATTTAATACCATGCTACTGTCAAGGACTGTAGTCGATGCCTACTAATTCTTTGTAAGAACTGGTTTATTTGTTTCCAGGTGAACCACAATGGACACCTGACCTTCAATGCACCATGGTCTAGTTTTTCACCTCAAATGTTTCCAATGTATGGATCCAGAGACGTCATTGCTCCATTCTGGACAGATTTAGACAACAGAGAAAATGGTCAGATCAATTACAACCAATACACCAGCGGCAGTGTTCTCCAACAAGCTACTCAAGACATCAATGAGTACTTCCCAGGGTTGAACTTCAATGCCGCCTGGGTGTTTGTTGCAACATGGTATGAGGTGGCCTACTTTCCAATGACTGGAACAGTAAGTCATCTTGTTCTAAATGGGGAAATGCATATGATGTGTATGTGTGTATTTCTTATGACCATATTAATTGTTTTATTTCAGCGAATAACTGTCCAAGCAGTCTTGATCTCTGGAGCCCAGTACTCATTTGTGCTGATGAACTATGGGATACTAGCTTTTACAACTTGCAATGTACAGGTCAGAGACATTAAAATGATATGCAGATTCACTACATGACATGTTCATCTAAATATGAATGCACTATTGGCAATGTGCAAATACAAAAATACATAAAATTAATTTTATTTATGTGACATGTATTTCCAGGCTGGATATGACACAGTCAACTCTACACACCATTTCACAATCCCTGGTTCATTCTCGAGCTCTGCTACAGGCAGTAACTCAACTTTCCGCCTGAGCAGCAATGTCAATGTACCTGGACGCTGGGCTTTCCGGATAGACAGTGGATCAAGAGGCTGCACTTTCAAAGGTAAGATCAGAATTAGAGGGTGATCACCACTCCATTAGGATACTGGCAAGTCTTACGATAAATCTGTTAGGGCTGTAGTCAACCAAAGAAAATCTTGGTCGACTGGCCACCATAATGCACTGAGTGCACTCTACCTGGTAGCTGCTGGGTCTTAATCAAAGTTACACAACATTACCTAGAAAAAGAATTCCTGCAGTTTGACCATTTCTTATTCACATATAGCTACAATGTTACCGCAGTAACACACACACACATAGACGAGACGAGCTTCTGTACAACAACAAAACTGAGTATAAAGCGATGCAGCACCAGAAGTAACATGAAAAAACTGTTGCTGGCATCCAACCTACTACTCTCGTTATTTAGTTGGCTTCAGATGAGGCTTAACATTCACAATTTCTCTCAACAGTCTCTCAATATTACAACATTAGTCCAAAATCCCCTTGTGCTGAACAGTTAGCCCTCATTAAAAAAACAGTTTGTACTAAAATGCACACACTTTACTATCAAAAATAACTTACCCACTCAGCTTTTCTCCTCTGATGTAGCAATTTAAGCCAGCTGGAGTTGTGTTTTAACTTCTTGACTCTTATCATCAAATAAACCATACAGTTATTTTAACAGAACCATATTTGTTTACTAAAATATGTTTTAATATTATTTTCATAAATAATCAATGTTGTTTCTAACAACATAGCCTATTACTCAAAAATAAAATTCAACAATTATGCATATATCCCTCCCACCCCCCAAAATATTGGATTATTAAATCATTTTCTCCTTATTAAAAACACCAGGGATTGTCTAACCAATGAGAATTTGGTCAGACAAGAGGATATCAACCAACCCAGCAGAAGGTGTCAGCCCTAAAAGTTGTGTTTGTTGTTGTTAAATAATGTTTTATACTGCTAAAAGTTGACTATATTGTGCAATGGACAATAAATCCGTTATATATTTAGTAAATTGTTTACTATTTCTGCAAGGTGTAAGTCTGGAGGGGACCATGCATTTGTTTGTGTGTGTGTATCTGTGTGTACAATCGCACATAATATGGTAGCATTGTTTGCATGTTGCAAGACAGTGTCTTTCAAGAAATATTATTTTTATTTGTATTCAAAGATGAACCAGTGCAGCTTGGTGACTCATTCTGGAGCGACAGTAGCTGTGCACAGAAGTGCACCTGCACCTCAGCAGGCCTGCAATGTCACAACCAACCCTGCTCCTTTTCCCAAATCTGCC